GGGGGGGAAGAGAGAGGCAAAACTAGCCCTCTGGGAGCAGGTTTCTCCACACTTTACCCCAGATACCCCGTCTCCCTTCCACACACTTTTTATGAACCGTTTCTTTTCCTCTCGTCTTCCCTCGGGCTCCCCATCCCCGCTCCCTTTTCGCAAAGCGCGCCAAAGCGCTCCCTAAGTGGTTTGCGTGACAGCTGGCCTAAAGAGGCCGCCGCGATGAAAGACCGAGCCCAGGCTGTCCTTTTTTTTAAATAGCAGCACTAAATGTTGGAAATAAGTGCTTCCCGCGGGAAGAACCTTGGCGGCTCCTGCTTGGGCACCGTAAACAGGGAAGGAAGGCTGTCGGGTGAAGAGGGGAAAACCCGTGAAGAGCCAGTGAGTTGGTCAGAAATAATCCTGTATATTCCAAAACACGTGTTCTGAAACTCACTGTCTTAGGTTCCCACCAAGGACTCTATCCTCTGTAAGAAGCTGAAGCCCACCATTATACCAAAAACCAAACAAAAACACATATTTTCCCCATTAAGGTCATTCATATGTTTAGCCCCATTCTATTCTCACATGGCTCAACGAAACATGTAATAATCTGTGGTCAATTATTGGGCTGGGACAACAAGGAACATTGAACAATACTACCAGTAGGACGAAAGGTCACAAAGGCAGGCAGGACCTGGTGCTTGGCGCTTGCAGGAGGGCGTGGGGGACTGAAGGAGAGTGGATTAGTAGTAGTTGTTCTGAAAACCTTGTATCCCACCTAAACTGTTCCCATGTCTCACCAGTTGATGGGTCATTAATGGCATGTGAATCATGGTTTCAAAAATACCCGCGGGCCATAATCCTATTATGTCTGCTGGAGTTAAATCCATTGGCATAAATCTCAGGAGCAAAATGGCCACAAGTTACATTAGGTCAGCGTAAGTATTTGGTGTTGCACAAAAGTTGGGTGAGTTGGCACGTGACAAAAAAGGGCTACACTGAAGTCTTAAATTGTACCAGTTGGTGAAATTGATGTCCCTGGACATGCTGACATAACTTTTCAGTCGGATTCCAGCCATGGAGAAAGACAATATGGTAGTTCTTTCTAAGTATTGTCAGGAACAGTAATAAGCCATTCATGGTTGGTGGGGCTGCATTTTCCTTGGTGGGTCAGACAAAATGCAATTGTGACTTAGGGGTGTATTTTCATAGACATATTCTCCCCCATTGTAGATGCATGATGAAAGAATGTGCCATCTGCAAAAAGAAATGGCACATTTCCTAAGAGCAAGTTTGGACTCTGAAAAGTTGTTTTGTGTAATCTCCTTTGGGGCATGCATCTTCTGTCTGCAATGCAGGGCAGGGGCACTTTATGAGCAGTGCTCAATCTGAGTTTTGAAGGGCTCCCAGACCATGGAACTGTTCACTCAGCCCTCCATTTTTGATGCAGGCTCATTTCCTCCTTGCCACCAGCTGCTGTTGTTTCTGCTACTTCTCATTACCCTGGCCTTCTGTACAAGGGACAAGTGGTGGTAGGAGTTGCTTCCTTCACACACGACCCTCTGCTGTTTATTGCCAGGAGGGGACTGTGAGCAGGAGGCAAAAGTGATTATGAGGGGACAGCACCAGAGGCTGTGGGACCACCGAAGAGATGTGCATCTTAACAAGTGCCCAGTCATACCAGTCCCTGAAGCCAGCCTTGCTTGTCACAACTTTTCACTGTGAGGCCACATAACATTCCAAAAAATCTATTTGGTCTGGAAGAATCTGAAATGCATATTGACATTGGTTGTATTTGGGGGTGGGGGATGAAAGACATGGTGGCACCAGCATTTGGAAAATGGATGTTGGCTTTCAGAGAAAAGTTTTTCCATATGGAACAACAAAAATAAACGTCAAGTGTCAGTAAGTTCCATCCAAGCAGGATGGAATGGGAGGATAAAACTAGGGAAAAAAGGCCTTGCTACAGTTGAAAGCATTGCAGTCTGAATATGCCAACAATGCCTTCCAATGTATTTAGTCACCAGTGACAGGGCACGAAATACTCTCAGATGGGAGAAGAGAGAGAAGGGGGAATAATACAAGAAGAGTATCATTCATGGGATTCCGATGAAGATTAGGAAACGAATGGTGGATGCACCCTGGTTATTCACCTTACCTCATCACTGTTACTAAAACCTAAAAGGATACTTCATACCTCCTGACAGCAGCAGCAGCAGCAGCAGCACAAAGGTGAGCAGTGCCTATCAGTTGCTGATTGGGAAGCTGCTGGATGCAAAAGGAGATCCAATGGCCTTTTGGCCTTTTGCAGATACAAGACGAGTGTGGAGATATTTAAACATTTGGGGGAGGGACAGAAATGCCTGCATTTACCCTGAAATTTTTAGTAGCTGCATTCCTCAGTACATTACTAATGCACTAGATAAGACAGAGAAGAAGAAACCGAAAGACATTTTTGATTTCGCCTCTTGGATGTGGATGCCCTCTCAGCAGAGATCTTCTTTGCTGAATGATCTAGGCAGATTTCTCAGCCACATTCTTCAGCCTATAGACAGGGAGTAATCCTAGTTAGACTCTCTCGGTCTCAGTCCTCTGTCTATAAAATGGGGATCATAACATAGGGCTTTCTAAGATTGTGGCAATAGTTACCAATGGGGCACGCTTGAAATTTACTACATAAACTTCAGTGATTATTATAGTGGCATAAGGAAACAGATATTGCCTACTTTCTATAAAACCCAAGTATATATTCCAGGCACCTCAGTGGCAGTGACTTGTGGCTTAAACCAAGGCAGGAAATGTATTGATGCAATCAAGTATGTCTGCAAAGAAGTAGATCAATGGATCTGCTTCCCAGGTAAATGAATATACAATCTTAGCTTTTATTTGTTACATTTACAGATTAATCAATGTAAACTTCATTGTTTTGGTTATGCGGTCAATGAAGTTTGATTGGTCTAGTCAATTAAGTAACTGAAGCCTGGTTTATTAGCTAAATCTACCTATTACAAGAATTTGATTACTCCATAAGTATCAATTTTTACTGATGAATTTGAAAGCTATGGACAGTTTAGTGAGGACTGAATAATTAATTGCTAAATATGGCCCTTTTAGTAACCTATGGCAACTTTTATTATGTGAGTCATATGTTACCATGTGCTTCCTTAGTGTATTAAAAGCACATATACTGAGATTTTCATAATATGTATATTTAATCAAATTTAATGAATGAATCAGTTCAATATGCAAATTAAACCCAAAATTTAGATGGCCAGCAATCATTTCAGCCTATTCGTAGACCGATAGTTTTGCTAAACCAAGCACTTCTATGACCTAAAGAATAAATATGGCTATGTCCCTTATGTAAAAGCAATCTTCAGTTAGATTTTGGCCTCCCATTCAATTCATTTGTATTGTACATCTGTGGAAAGGAATGGAAACGAGAACAAAGACATTCCAATGAGCTGAAGTGCAAAATGGCTAAAACTGATTTCAGCCATGCACAGATGTGCAATCTGGAATCATCTTTCAAAAATGGGAGCCGTGGGAGAGGCATCCACAGATCACGCCCACTGAAGGGATCCAAAAGGCCAAGGGATGTTCACTTTCCTGCATCAGCTTTTTCCAATGTAACAATGAGACCTAAGGATGGTAACATTGTTTCCTATGGCAATTTGCCCCAAAAAGGAATTACGAACCATGAAAGAAAATCTCACCCTCGTATATATGAATTGAAGGCCAAAAACTCCAAGAAGACCTATTGAAGAATAAGATCCACAAGACCCCAATTAGAGGCTTGCTGGATCATGCCAAAAACATTTTAAGGTCAAATCATTCTGTCCCCACAGCATCCAGCTAAATATCTTTATAGGAAGCCCTGTATACCTGGATACCTGTATGGGATACTTATATAGTAAACCTGAAGCACTCCTCTTTCCCCCAGTGTATTTATTTCCCAACCAGTAATATCCAAAGCATACTGCCCCCCCCAGGGGACATATTATATCAACATAAGTAGTTACCGTTTGCCTTAAACTCCTATGAATTAGTTTGAACCATCCAAGTTGGAAGCCACCATAACATCATGCAGCAGTGAATCCCCATGGTTTCTCTAGGCACTGTGCGGAGATGCGCTCTGGGGCGGTATATAAGCAGCACGCTTTGCTTGCTTACTTTTGATCCACCACTCAAGTGTTCTCTTCCAACTCCTATGAATTAGTTTGAACCATCCAAGTTGGAAGCCACCATAACATCATGCAGCAGTGAATCCCCATGGTTTCTCTAGGCACTGTGTGGAGATGCGCTCTGGGGCGGTATATAAGCAGCATGCTTTGCTTGCTTACTTTGGATCCACCACTCAAGTGTTCTCTTCCCCTTTTTTGATGTGGAGAATTGTCTTAGCTCTTGCTGCTTGTGCTTCAAGCACAGGTGACCTTGAATGCATAGAAGGAAAGGCATTGTGTGCCTTTATCTATAGAAATGCAGAAAGACAATTGATTCTACATCCCCTAAGGGTTAGCCTGAGAACTTTGTAACTCAAGCTTGTACCTCTCCAAGCTTGTAACTTGCATTTTGCAAATTCTGTCAGAGTCTATGGCTATAGTATCTGGCTAAGATGTTTCCCCATTGCAAGAACTAAACTTTTATTTCTGTTCTCTGTTTAGACTAGCCAGTTACTGATCCATAAGAGGACACCGACTCTTGACCAGACCCTACAACAAACATAATTCTTCCTCATTTAAAGTGTGGAGACAAATTTGGCAATGCAATG